TATATATATATATATATAGACATATATACACACCCTGTTTTCCGCTTGTTTCTCTGCTGGTTCACTGAAGCTATCACGTCTACACACTCTGAGTTCATTTTCCGACTAGTCCTACGTCTCCCAGTATTTCCACTTTCAGTTTGCACAGTGCATTTTGTTGCTTTGTGGTTGTTTTGTGTCTGCTACTCTCTTGATGACCTCGTCACTAGTTTGTCTCGTGAGCCACCCAACGTTTTCTTGACAACTCTAGTTCTTGATCTAACCATCCTGTCTAACCATCCTGTTCTCCAGTGTGGCGTATTGACCTGCTGCCCTATCTGTTACCTGAAACACTGTCACCTGCTGCAGGCTGCTACCAGGAAGGCTCAACTGCTATCCTGATCACCTGCATGGGAAAGTTTTCTGCAACTCCCCACCCTGCTGCTCGCTGCTTACCAGTACATTCAGCTATTATACTAGTCTCCTGTGTGGCCAAGTCATCAGCAATAAATGTCCTGCTGTTATGCCACTTACCAGTATGGTTGGGTCAGTTCCAGTGTGTACTCCTCTCCCCCTGGCTGCTACTGCTCCCTGCTCCTCCGCCTTCATCCACTCTTCTCCTCCCGGTTACTACAGTGCCCTGGTTCTCCTCTTACATCCCACACTACCTATTAGCCAACAGAGCCTGCCTGTCCAGTCCTAAACCTGCTCAGCCTCAGTCTTATCTATTTCCCTCTCTGCCTCTGTTCCCCTCTATCTTCTACTTGGTAACCATTCTTTCTTTAGTTAATAAACTCTCTTTTGTTCAACTCCTGTGGCTGGAGTCTGCATATTGGGGTCCATCAGTACCTGTACACACCGTAACATGAGGAGAACCCTAGAATCAAAATTGGACATGTCTTGCATTTTTGTATCGCCAAACAGATATATTCACAAAAAAGGACTTTTACAATTACAGACAAACATCAAACAATGTAGTGTATCTTAATATTACTAAAATTTGGTATTTGAATGATGCAGATGGATAAATTGACAGTTTTAACTGATACCCATCTTGGGAAAACTACATAACAAAAATGAAATTCACCAAAACATTCCAGTACATGAAGAGCTGGTATTTATATCAGAAATATGTTGTTTGAGATTTCAGTCACCGTTTGTACAGATCCTGGAGTCTGATTCAATTCATTTATGACCGAGGCTTTGAACCAATGAAAGTTCTGATGCAGGAATCAACCAAAAAGAGGTTTGTGTGTGTTATCGGATGTTGAGGTTAGACTTTTCCGGGAAGCAGGAATATACACAGCACCCATGCATCCATTTACTGCCATCTTATCCAAGATCGGGTCATGGGGGCTGCAGGGCCAGCAAGGCCACCCAGGCACTATAAACCGGTGGCTGTGGCTCAGTTGGTAGAGTGGGTTGTCTCCTAAAATTAGCGGTTCAATTCCTAGCTTATTCCAGTCCACATGTCGAAGTGTCCTTGAGTAAGGCCCCCAGTCGCTCCTGGTGATGACACCGGTGTGTGAATTTGGGAGTGCGAATGGGTGAATAGCCAAATAGTGTGAAAGCGCTTTGAGTGTGCTGCAATGCATAGAAAAGCACTGTACAAGTATAAGACTGTTTACTTGTTAGTAGCATCAATTCATTGTTGGTTTGCATCTTTTTATGGGATTTAGTGACAGAAAGTGATATATAAAATAGCTGCTTCATGATATGAAAGAAAAAACCCCTGCCATTTAACCATGGCACTCAGTTATTTAAAAAAAATAAGTCCCACAGTAAATACTGTAGGAATATTTGACAGTTTTCACTATCATCCAGATAAGCCTTGGCTACAGTGTAACTGGGGGGATCCTTACAATGGTTAAATGGATAGAAAAAACATACTGAAATGTGGAACACAGAAACAGTTCTTAGGAAAGGTTAGAAATTAATAGAACGACATTATTTGAGACGTTTGCTAAATATTTTTTATGTCCAGTAAAACAATTAGAAACCAGTGAAATGTGTGATTAAGATGAACAGAAGCTGCTGTCACAGTCAACTCAAATTGCTGCCATGAAATTTGGAGATATTACTATAGAATCTTTGCTTCTTTTTCATTCATGTTTTTAATTAAGGTGTGCATTCAGTTTGACATCTTCCTGTGTCTCTGTGGAACATGATTATCCTTGAAAAGATGATAATATAGCTGCTCTGTCAACAAAGAGGGCAGCAGAAGGAATCAGCCCTGCATCCTTTTGGAGAGCAGGAGAGAAGAAGTGACTCTGATGAGCAATGCCAGGCAGCTCATCAGTCACTCACAGGAGCAGCCTCAGCATCATTTCCGTTCAACTACACGTGCTTAGTTTTTAGCATTCTCATGTCTGCTGGAGTTTTCTCACACACAAGTAGCGAGTCGTGTGTGGTGCTGTGCCATTTTCAGTGTCGTTTGTGAT